ATGACTTGTAGGTATAGCATTGTCTGCCCTTGTGCAAGTTATCCAATTCATAGCAGCTAGTATAATCTGTGCATCAATAGCAACTTAGTGCAATCTGTACATAATCTGTACATCAATAATCAGCTTTTTTTTTGTAGCAATCTAATACCCGCATAGCAATTAATAGTAGCTTAGTACAATTTGTACATGATCTGATGGCTCCTTTTCAATGGCAAATTAGGTGTTCTATGATGTGGATGAGGCTATCAAGAAATGGTTTATGGATACGTCTGCAAGGAAGTGGAAGGACTACAAGGCAAACTTAAAAGAGAAGTTTTTTGATGAAACATTAATAGATGAACAAATGAAGGAAAGACTTAAAAATATTTTAAATGATGATGACATTAATGATCTTATTAAATTTTGGAGGTCTCCTGAATGTCAAGTAAGGAACAGTTCATATGAATCTATCTTTTCCATTACTTGCCTATGAATGTGCAAATCTCAATGATTTCTACCATAGGCTCGCCCTGAAAGAGGAAAAGCAAATCGTGCGAAGTTGAGGGTTCATCATACATCTAGAAGTATCAGTCATGCTTGTCGTAGTTATAATCTGGTATAGAATCCTATCATGTTACTCATCCTGTAAATTATTTTGGGGCATTTTCATTGGTACATAGTTATAAACTTGTAGGGTAAATCACTTGGACACCCCCCTCAAAGAGATGAAGTGTACATCAATACACATACAAGAAAAAATGGAGTACCTTTAAGGGAGGCAGCAGGAACGATTGTAAGTTTTCCCAAAAAAAGAAACATGGATCTGTTGTATACACTTTACTTATTCATATTTTGTAGGATGAGATTAAAGCCATTGTTGAAGCTCAACCAAAGTTGAAGGATAGAACAATTCAAGAAGGCGATGCGTATGCTGCTGTTTGTGGAGCAAAGTAGCCAAGAGGACGTGTTCGTGTTTTGGGTCTAGGACCAACTCCCCAAGAGATTGGTACCCTAGGGCTCAAAGCACTCATGTCAACAAGGATGAAAATGGAAATTTTTGCTCGACAGAAAGCTAAAAGTAAGAACAGAACTCTTGAGCAACGCATTGCGGAATTGGAAGAGGAAAGGATGGCACAAGGAAGGACAAATGTTGAAGTCCTGTCACAGCATGGCTCTAATTCACGACAGTATGCGGTAAAGAACTCGAACTAAATTATCTCTTTACATGTCGTAATGTGCACATACATTTCTCTGGTAGCAGCCAATGAATATTATTGTTCCGATTCTTGTGTAGAGTCCGACACCTGAAAGACCTATCGACGAGGCACATAATGCTCTTCGGCGTGAAGACTATGATAATTATGTAGAGGATGAAGACTATGATGACTATGGTGAGGAGGATGAGAACTTGCTCCCCCGTAGGCATGCTGCAACCCGATCAGCTATGAACATTACAACAGCAACAAATGTTCGCCCTTGCTTTGCAAATGATACACATGTAATCTTCCTATGCCCTTGCAAAGTATTTGTTTGTGATTTTAAAAATGTTCCCTGCATTACAATTCTCATGAGTGCATCATTTATTTCAGGTTGAAATGGAAGAGACCTTGCCCCCCTCTAGGCCTGCTGTTGCCCGATCAGCTATGAACATGACTACTGCACCAACAAGTGATATCCACCCTTACTTTGCAAATGATACACATGTAATCTTGCCTTTCTGCTGCAATGTTTGTCTGCGATTTCAAAAATGTTCCATGCTTTATAGTTCTCATGAGTGCATCATTTATTTCAGGTTGAAACGGAAGAGAGCTTGCTGTCCCCTAGGCCTGTTGCAGCCCGTTCAGTTATTAACATGACTAATACACCAACAAATGATATCCTCCCTCGCTTTACAAATGATACACATGTAATCTTGCAATGCTGCAGCAATGTTTCTCTATGATTTTAAATGTTCCATGTTTTACAGTTCTCATGAGTGTATGTTTACTTTAGGCTGAAACTGATGAGAGCTTGCACCCCCATAGACACGATGCAGCCCCTTCACCTATAAACAAGACAACTACAGCAACAAATGATAGCCCTCGCTTGCATGATAACCTTGTAATCTTCCTGTCTTCCTATATTCTTTTATGGTTTCATATACGTTCCTTGCTTTAAAATTCTTATGGACGCATCATTTATTTTAGGTTGGAAAGGATGTAATATTATTTGCTATATTGAGATTTGAGTTAGCTGTGGCTAGGGGAATAATCATTTCAACTAATCCAAACACCATGGTAGGAGGCCAGCCTCTTGGGAATGAATATTGTGAAGTAGTTGTTGATGTTGTGATGAGAAGGGATGCTATGCTGCCTCGGACTTATGGCGAGATGCAGACTATGGCTAGTGCTCTCAAGATGAGCATTGCATGGCCATACAATAAAGTAATAAACTAGACTTGACATAATTTTCATTTTGTTTTGATCTGTGATGCATGTCCAATGTCCTAATTAAACCTATCTGTGATAGATAAAGGAATGCAAGAAGAATGAATGCAAGAAGGCATCTAGTACACCTCTCAAAGGCACTGCAGGTATGTCCCTAAATTAGAGGCTGACAAAGTGAATAGAGGTTGCAAGTGAACAGAAAATAACAACTCAATTACATATGCAAGTACTAGCTAGTAGTACCGCTCATGGTCTGACAAAGTCACAAAGTGAAGACTCTACCAATTGAGCTACTATCACTTATTTATTTTTTATAGTTTCCTCACTATTGCAGTGAGCACAAGAATTTTCTTTTCCCATGCAATTTTTGGTCTTTGACTTTTAGAGAATAATTTACTTTTTAAACTAAACAGTTTACCACCTGAGATGTAACCCAGGGGAAAATCTATGTTAAATCCACATGAGGGGCTGGCCGCTGGCCTAAATGGGAGAGTTATTTGTGCTCATTTTTTTAAGCAAGTAGTTCAGATTCTGTTCTCCCAAAAGATGATCCTATATAACTTAGAAACAAGACTGAGCTTCACCCAAGTCGTACCTATACATGTGATATGCTGTCAGGTCGTAGTTTATAGGTAATAGCTATACTAAATATGATGGAGAAAGAAGGCATTTGTTTAGAGATGAAAATTGTAACTGTAACTATTACTTGCACATGTATCCAACCACTATGAACTGTGCTGAAATATGTAAACTGAAGTTCACAACTGTTATTTGTACATTTCAAATAAATCAAAGTAGGAAAATTACATAGGTTAGCTACTCAGTTACTGTTGATTTGGAGTGCCTACCCTGAATAAAGAACAAACTAGATGTTTTGTATGCATATGTCATGAACTTTGTACTTACAGTTTCCTTGAAACAGTCAATTGCCGTGGGTGAAGCACCATCCTTTGACACAAATTCTTCGAGAGTCTTGAAAATATGGAAAATTAAATACCAGTAGCAGTCCCCAATCTGTTTAGCAGCTTCTTTGTTCCAACTATTTGTTGAAAACCACAACAATAGTAAGTGACATAGCCGCAATTAAATCTAAAAGACTGTAGTCCATTCGATACAATCCAGCTCTTATTAAAATAAAATGGGTAGGAAGTTAAGACTCACTCACTCAAATTAAGGTCTTCCGTTGTATATGGGAAGAGGCACCATCTTGGCTAAAGATAGACTAGTCAAAAGAAATTGGAATGGATGTCCACATTGTTACTTTTGTAATCATAACGTTCAACGTATATTTCTTACTTATATGTTATTTGCTAGTAATTCTATTTGTCATCTACTTAAAATTCCCATAGACCATGTTTAATGCAGCCTAATTACATGGTTGTTATATTTTTCTGGAAGTGTTGGGCAGTCTTTGGCTTGAGTTTCTAGAAAATGGTTCTGCAGATAACCTGGTGGAGGCTCTAGTGTTGGCAAGCCATTGCTTTTAGTTTTTGAGTTCCTAGAAATGACTGTGTGCACAAACCTTAGTATGTCAAACACAAACTACTAGTATTGCTTGCTAGGTGTGCATTCATGTGATCTTTTGGTGGCTGACCTTGTTGGATGATGTATTGTGCAAGACAAGATTGTATGTTATATATGTATTGATCTCCATTTGATGTATGTATTTCTATATCTTTATGTGATGGACCTTAAGCTTGAATCTGGGTATGATATGTGCTACATATTTTCTCATTGTATTTTTTTATATATTTATATTGTCATGTAGAACAATCTGTCGCTATAAATACATGGACGGTTAGATGATCTGTCGGTATATGCCTAGTAACAGAGCATCTGTCGTCAAAAAGTAGCAATGGACTATCTGTCGCTAAAAGTTCGCTAAAGATTTTTAGCGATAGGACTTACACCGTCTGCAGAAGTTTGTCGCTATAACTTTTTAGCGTCAGATGGCCTATCACTGTAGCCGTTTTTAGCATCAGGCCATCCATCGCTAATCTTGGTGTTGTGGTGTAGTGTGCGTTCCCCTGTAGATGACATGCAAAAGAGTTTTTAGTTGACATTTGTCAAATACAACTTCATTTCTTATAAACCAAATAGGCCAACAGATCGCGAACACTCCTATATCAATAAAACGGATCTAAAAGATTTGCCCTTAGTGGGACACCTATTATCAAAACAACTTTAGACATTTAGGGGCGGACTAAGACTTAACACCACCATATATATGAACCACTCTCCACAGAGACTTAATATAAGTTCACTCAAAGAAGAGGCGTTGAATGGTTCTGGCTTACTGCAAAAGCAGCAAGTCGTGTCACCGTTCCAATTTCTTTCTGATAAATTATCTTTTATGAGAATGACTTACTTTTTAAAGAATCATATAATTTATATCTTCAGAGATATCTTCAGACGTGATGGGATCCAAACAAGCCTTATAATGCTATAAATATCAGCAAGAGCAACCTACATATACCGGAGATAAACAATCGATGAAGAATTCCCCAATTGCATCTTACAGGTTATATCCAACCACTTCATAACAAAAATGTTCTAGATACCGCGATCAACTGATTAAAAAAATTACCACATGCATTATGTCATTTCAGTCAACTGCATGGTTCTAGCCAGCATCTCCTGGTACCTCCGGTATGACTCCTGCTTCTCCAGCATGAACCTCTCATGACACCTCGCGATGAACCTCTCTGCAAGGCTATCAATCTCATGGTAACCCCCACCATCTTCCTCGCCGTCCTCAGCGTCTTCCGTTATTCCATACTCTTCGTCAGGCCTCTCGAGATACCCGGCGATTGGTGGCAGCTGCAGCTCAGGAGGGATCTCCGTGTTCCAGGACGGATCATAGTAGGAATAGTGTAATAACCCGGGTTCAAGCGGCTCCAGGACGGCCGTCGTCTTGGACGACGACGATGACCATGACGGCGGGAGCAGGTTGAGGTGCATTTCAGCACAGCCGCAAATGCAGCAGGGTGGATCCTTGTTGTTCGTCTCCCCCCTCTGCTTCCTCTTGATCTTCCTCCTCGTCTCGACGCCTGCAGCCTGCTTCTTGCTTAGAAGGTCCAGGAGCATCGCCCTCGCTCCATCCAGCGCCATGGCGACGCGGCCGGCGTGCTTGGAGACGAAGGCATGTACGATGCGTCTGATCCTGAGGATCTTGATGAGGGCCTTGTTTGGTGGCTCGTGCTCAGCTCTGCCTCTGAGCTTGAGATCGTTCGAGGGGGAAGGGGTGTGAAGTAGGTGGTGATCCGCCATGAGAGTCTAGTGCTGCTTGCACAAGTTGGTGGCTCGCCTCTACTGGCCTGGTCGTTCATATATGTGATGTGACTTGGGTGGCCTGGGTCCGATGCATGCAATGCATGCTAGTGTGACTGTGTGACAGTGTGAGTGTTATTTTGGTTCGGAGATTTTTTTTTTGAAACTCCCCCCCTGATCTTCTTATTCATTAACATCCGGTTCTGCGTAATCGCGAACCACCAGATCGATTACAAAACTAGGGAGGGGATCAAGCCATAGGAATGGTTGATCTGGGTCCCAACCAAGACTAAGCCGAGCAAGCTCATGAGGGCACCTATTACAAGATCTAGGAACATGAACAAATTGCACTGAACTAAAACACAAATTAATCAAGTCCCGCGCTTCTCTATAGATTACACAGAGGCGGGGCACAAGTCCAACCACTACGGGAATCAGGAGATTTGCCGAGTGCCCCTGCCACTCAGCAAAGCCTAAAAAACGCTCGACAAAGGGTTTGCCGAGTGTGACACTCGGCAAACGACACTCGGTGAATTTTTATCGGCAAACAGGCTTTGCCGAGTGTTTTTTGTCGGACACTCGGCAAAGACTTCGCCGAGTGCCCAAAATACATTCGGCAAACATTTTTGTTTCGAAAAAAGCCACCACAAACATTTTTTTCGAAAAAAGCCACCACCGGCCAGTTTCAGCCGGCCGCTGTCGGTCTCCTCGGCGGCGGCCTTCCCCTCCGTCTCGCCTCTGCTCCCCGGCTTCACGGCCGCTGCCACGAGCCGCCACCGGCCACCACCACCACGCCACAGCCACCCACCACCACCACGCCACCACCCGCCACGCCGGGGAAGAGAGGGAGAGGAGGGCGCGGCCGCCGGATCCGGGGAAGAGAGGGAGAGGAGGGGGCGGCCACGCCGGATCCGCCGCTGGGGAAGAGAGAGGAGGGAGAGGAGGGGGAGGGGCACCGGCGGTGGGAAGAGAGGGAGAGAAGGGGGCGGCCGCGCCGGGGCCGGATCCAGCCTCCCCGTGCGCCACCGTTGTCGGATCCGCCCGCGCGCGGGGCCGGATCTGGTGGACGCGGTGGAGGGAGGGAGGTGCGCCGGCGAGGGAGGAGGGGAGGGCGGGCCGCGTCGGCGAGGGAGGAGGGGAGGGCAGGCCGCGCCGGCGCCGAAGAGGGAGGAGGGGAGGGCGGGGCCGCGCCGGGGCCGAGTGGGAGGAGGGGGCGGCGTGTGCGCGTGTGCGGGGAGGGGGCGGCGCGTGCCTATGTGCGGAGAAGGGGAGGGGGCATGCGGACACGGCGCGGGGAGAAGGGGAGCATGCGGGGAGACCTAGGGCGCGTCCGCTGGGGTTAAAAAAAGATTTTTTCGTTTGCCGAGTGTCCCAGATCTTGGCATTCAGCAAAGATTTTTTTTATTTTTTTTTTTTTCTTTCTTTCCCAGAAAAAATATTTCTTACTTTGCCGAGTGTCCTAGATCTAGGCACTCGGCAAAGATTTTTTTTATCTCTTTCTTTCACAGAAAAAATATTTTTTTACTTTGCCAAGTGTCCTAGATCTAGACACGCGGCAAAGATTTTTTTTTCATATTTTTTCTTCTCTTTCTTTCCTAGAAAAAAATATTTTTTTACTTTGCCGAGTGTTCTAGATCTAGCCACTCGGCAAAGTTTTTTTTCATTTTTTTTTCTTCTCTTTCTTTCCAAAAAATAAAATATTTTTTTCCTGTGCCGAGTGTAAAAAAAAACACTCGGCAAACTCCATCCTTGTCGAGTGTTTTTTTTACACTCGGCAAACCACCTCCTTTACCGAGTGTCTTTTTTTGCCGAGTGTTTTTATGGCAGCACTCGACAAAGAACTTGTTTGTCGAGTGCCGGTTAGAATACACTTGTTTGGTGGCTCGTGCTGAGCTCTGCCTCTGAGCTTGAGATCGTTCGAGGGGGAAGGGGTGTGAAGTAGGTGGTGATCCGCCATGAGAGTCTAGTGCTGCTTGCACAAGTTGGTGGCTCGCGCTACTGGCCTGGTCGTTCATATATGTGATGTGACTTGGGTGACCTGGGTCCGATGCATGCAATGCATGCTAGTGTGACTGTGTGACAGTGTGAGTGTTATTTTGGTTCGGAGATTTTTTTTTGAAACTTCCCCCCTTGATCTTCTTATTCATTAACATCCGGTTCAGCGTAATCGCGAACCACCAGATCGATTACAAGACTAGGGAGGGGATCAAGCCATAGGAATGGTTGATCCGGGTCCCAACCAAGACTAAGCCGATCAAGCTCATGAGGGCACCTATTACAAGATCTAGGAACATGAACAAATTGCACTGAACTAAAACACAAATTAATCAAGTCCCGCGCTTCTCTATAGATTACACAGAGGCGGGGCACAAGTCCAACCACTACGGAATCAGGAGATTTGCTGAGTGCCCCTGACACTCGGCAAAGGTTGACACTCGACAAATGACACTCGGTGAATTTTTATCGACAAACAGGCTTTATCGAGTGTTTTTTGTCGGACACTCGGCAAAGACTTTGCCGAGTGCCCAAAATACACTCGGCAAACATTTTTTTCGAAAAAAAGCCACCACAAACATTTTTTTCGAAAAAAAGCCACCACCGGCTGGTCTCAGCCGGCCGCCGTCGGTCTCCTCGGTGGCGGCCTTCCCCTCCGTCTCGCCTCCGCTCCCCGGCTTCACGGTCACCGCCACGAGCCGCCACGAGCCGCCGCCACCAGCCACCACCGCCACGCCACCGCCGCCCACCACCACCACGCCACCACCCGCCACGCCGGGGAAGAGAGGGAGAGGAGAGCGTTGCCGCCGGATCCGGGGAAGAGAGGGAGAGGAGGGGGCGGCCGCGCCGGATCCGCTGCCGAGGAAGAGAGAGGAGGGAGAGGAGGGGGAGGGGCGCCGGCGGTGGGAAGAGAGGGAGACGAGGGGGCGGCCGCGCCGGATCCGCCGTCGGGGAAGAGAGAGGAGGGGGCGGCTGGCATGATCCGATCCACTGGGAAGAGAGAGAGGAGAGGAGAGGAGGGAGAGGGCGCCCGGCGGTGGGAAGAGAGGGAGAGGAGGGGGGCCAGCGCGGATCCGCCGTGCCGGGAAGAGAGAGGAGGGAGAGGAGGGGAGGGGCACCAAGGGTGGGAAGAGAGGAGAGAGAGGCGGCCGCGCCAGGCCGGATCCGGCCCCCGTCTTGCCATGGATCGCCGGGATCCGCCAAGGGGGGGCCGGATCTGGTGGAGGCGGTGGAGGTGGGAGGGAGGTGCGCCGGCGAGGAAGGAGGGGAGGGTGGGCCGTGCCAGCGAGGGAGGAGGGGAGGGCAGGCCGCGCCGGTGCCGGAGAGGGAGGAGTGGAGGGCGGGGCCGCGCCGGGGCCGAGAGGGAGGAGGGGGCGGCGCGTGCGCGTGCGCGGGGAGGGGGCGCCACGTGCCCTTGTGTGGAGAAGGGGAGGGGGCATGCGGACGCGGCGTGGGGAGAAGGGGAGCGTGCGGGGAGATCTAGGGCGCGTCCGCTGGGGTTAAAAATGATTTTTTTTCGTGTGCCGAGTGTTCCAGATCTGGGCACTCGGCAAAGATTTTTTTATTTTTTTTCTTTTCTTTCTTTCCCAGAAAAAATATTTTTTTACTTTGCCGAGTGTCCTAGATCTGGGCACTCGGCAAAGATTTTTTTCTTCTCTTTCTTTCCCAAAAAAAATTTTTTTACTTTGCCGAGTGTCCTAGATCTGGGCACTCGGCAAAGATTTTTTTAATTTTTTTTCTCTTTCTTTCCCAAAAAAAATATTTTTTTTACTTTGCCGAGTGTCCTAGATCTGGGCACTCGTCAAAGTTTTTTTTTATTTTTTTTCTTCTCTTTCTTTTCTAGAAATTTTTTCCTTTGCCGAGTGTAAAAAAAACACTCGGTAAACCCCATCTTTGGCGAGTTTTTTTTTGACACTCGACAAACCATCTCTTTACCGATTGTTTTTTTTGCTAAGTGTTTTTATGGCAGCACTCAGTAAAGAACTTGTTTGTCGAGTACCCGTTAAAATACACTTGTTTGGTGGCTCGTGCTGAGCTCTGCCTCTGAGCTTGAGATCGTTCGAGGGGGAAGGGGTGTGAAGTATGTGGTGATCCGCCATGAGAGTCTAGTGCTGCTTGCACAAGTTGGTGGCTCGCGCTACTGGCCTGGTCGTTAATATATGTGATGTGACTTGGGTGGCCTGGGTCCGATGCATGCAATGCATGCTAGTGTGACTGTGTGACAGTGTGAGTGTTATTTTGGTTCGGATATTTTTTTTTTGAAACTTCCCCCCTTGATCTTCTTATTCATTAACATCCGGTTCAGCACCACCAGATCGATTACAAAACTAGGGAGGGGATCAAGCCATAGGAATGGTTGATCCGGGTCCCAACCAAGCTCATGAGGGCACCTATTACAAGATCTAGGAACATGAACAAATTGAACTGAACTAAAACACAAATTAATCAAGTCCCGCGCTTCTCTATAGATTACACAGAGGCAGGGCACAAGTCCTATATCTGGGCACTCGGCAAAAATTTTATTTTTATTTTTTTTCTTTTCTTTCTTTCCCAGAAAAAAATATTTTTTTACTCTGTCGAGTGTCCTAAATCTGGCACTCGACAAAGATTTTTTTTCATTTTTTTCTTCTCTTTCTTTCCCAGAAATAAATATTTTTTTTACTTTGCCGAGTGTCCTATATCTGGGCACTCGGCAAAGTTTTTTTTTTTTTTTCTTCTCTTTCTTTCCAAGAAAAAAATATTTTTTTTGTTTGTCGAGTGTAAAAAAAACACTCGGCAAACCCCATCTTTGCCGAGTGTTTTTTTTACACTCGGCAAACCACATTTTTACCGAGGGTTTTTTTTACCGAGTGTTTTTATGGCAGCACTCGACAAAAAACTTGTTTGCCGAGTGCCCGAGAGAATACACTCGGCAACACAAAAACACTCGGCAAATTTGACGTTTCCGGTAGTGATCGCATCCGACTGGAGGGCGTTCACTGTATTCAAAGAGTCTGTCTACATAA